AGGGAAGAGAGGTTGTGGATCACTCCAGATTAATAACAGCTTTAAAGCAAAAAGTAGTGAACATAGTAAAAGGTTCTAGAAAAAGGCCAGTACAGTTGGAGTATGGAGGGCAAAGGGGAAAAATCATGGAAAAGTCAGAAGACAGTGTATTGGTCAAGGTTAGGTACAATAGGCATAGAGAAATCATGGTTTATAAGAGTTTTTTTTCCTTCGTGGTCAAGAATGTCAAGGTTGTACTTTTCATTTTTGTGTGTATCTTCTACTTCAGAGTTAACTCATGGTCCAGGGTGATTGCTGGAGCTTCAGATTCTACCTCAGCCCCACATCCCAGACAGCAGGAGGGGGATAGCATGTGAATAGTGTGGGAGAGCTCTGTGACCCAGTCTCTGCCACGTCAAAGGATTCCAACTACATTCTCCTTTTTTTTTCTTTTTTTTGGAGAGGTTTTTGCTATAGGGTGCATGTGCCAGAAAGACAGAGAGAGACAGAAAACGAGAAATCACCCTCCAGGGGGGATGGCCACCCCGCAGTCCCTTCTCCATTCTCTTCTCGGGATCTTGGACACACTCGCACATGTACACGGTCAGTTTAAGCCACCGGGTCCAGGACTTGAACTGCAGTCGACTACATGGGAGCTCAGCGACATAGCCATTATACTAACTGCTGGTCCCCCAACCACATTCTTAAAGTTCTGGGCCAGCCTTCCTCGTAACCCTTGTTTCTGCTGTCCTCTAAAAGTCGGGGTCTACATCAGTTATACTACAATTGATTTTTTTGTGCATGAGTTGAAGTTCTCTCCAATGGAGGTACATAGGTGATTTTTTTTCTGCGGACAAGGACCACATCTGTCTTGCAGTTGTCCAGCATTTATCACAATGTCTAGCACACAGTAGCTGCTCAGTAAATATTAGTGAATATTAAATACTCACTTAAATAAATGATAGGCTATATACTGTTTAAGGTCTTTTTTTTTTTTTTTGGCTAATTCTGTACAGTGTAGAGTATAACCACTTGGTGGCACTAAACTCATTTTAAAACTTGAAGAGTTATTTTTATGCACATTGTAATCACTTTTTCACACACAAAATGAGCTATCATATATTATAGGTCGTGTAAACTATCATTGACATCAAAGAGAAATATCAGTAACCACAGTAACTTTTTTTCCCCGCTACTACTTAAAAAAAAAAAACTCCCAAGGTGATAAATGACTGACGTGGAGGTGTTTGGTAGTGTGCCTGTTCTCTCCTGCAGCCTCCACCAAGTCCAGCTTTGGCACATAGTACACCTCTAGTGTGTCATGGTTTTGAAAGAATGTGTAAATAAGTATAAACTGAACAACTCCTAACTCCATCCCTACCCTGCCTACCCTCGGTAGTTTCACCCTAGGTAATTGACCGAAGGTAGGGGAGCACTAAGTGCTGCAAGGTTTTAGTTAACCGTATCTATGAAATCTCATTAATAGTGTTCATCCAGATAAACTGAAGAGCTGGGCTTCAGATGCACATACACACTAACAGCAATCAGCAGCCGTGTTGACTGCGTTCTGGATCTGCTACATTTTCTAACCCACCAATTGTAAGACAGTTAAGAACTGGAGGATATTTGTAATACCTTAAAAGCCTCTAGCAACATAAAAGTAAAATACTATCTTTTTAGAAGAGCATTTTTTATAATTATTTAGCTTAATTTTATTTTATTATGTGCACTCTCCAGAGAGACAGACGACAAGAAGTCATCCTCCCGGGGGGAAGACCGTGCCACAGTCCCTTCTCCATTTTCATTTTATGATTCCAGGCACGCATGAACATTTGCCCGGTGTGAGTTTTAAGCTGCTGGATCTGGGACTCAAACCATGGTCAATTGCGTGGGAGTCTAGTGACATAACCATTATGCCATCTGCTGGTCCCAAAAAGTAAACTACTATTAAGAATTAAAGAGGGGGTGCCATCTACTGGCATGGTACTTTAGGTGCTAGATTCCCACATGATTGACTGTGGTTTGAGTCCCAGTCCTAGCAGCTTGCTTTCTCACCTTCCCTCTCTCCCTTTTGGGTCAAATTAAAATAATAATAATGATACTGAGTAAAATGAAATAAATTAATAATAATTCAAATATTTAATTATGAAATTATAAATAATAATTGAGGGACTGGCAAGTGGCGTGGTGGTTAAAGACGCTAAACTCCCATATGGCCGACTGCTGTTTGAGTCCTGGACCTGGCGGCTTGCTTTCTCACTACCCCCACACACATACACACATATTCTGTCCCTCTCTGGTCAAATTATAATTAATTAATTAATTTAATTAAATAACTCTTTAAGAAATAATAATCGAATCCCTTTTCAAAAGGGTGGGGCAGGGGCCAGCAGGTGGCACGGTGGCTAAGGGCACTGGACTCCCTCATCGTTGACTGAGGTTCAAGTCCAGGACATGACAGCTTGCTTTCTCACTTTCTCTCTCTTGCTCTGTCCCTCTCTGGTCAAATTTAAATAAATAAAATTAAAAAAAAAAAAGGGTGGGGCAGTAGGTGGTATAGTGGTTGAGGCACTGGATTCCCACATGGCTGACTCGTACCTAACCGTTTAAAAAAATCACATGGGTGTGTGTGCATGCATGCCTAAAACCCCAGGAGGGGAGTGGAAGAGAAGGTATTACAGCATGGCTATCCCCCTGGGGCTGATTTCTTTCTTTCCCTCTCACTGTCTCTCTGGTGGTTGCATGCATCCTATGGCAAAAACCAAAAACAAAACAAAAAAATTTAAAAGGGAAAATAATTGAAATCTTTTCTTCTGAAATCAAGTAGGATAAAAATAGGTGATTTATTAAATTTATTAAAATATAAACTTAGAAGCTAATTAACATTAGTAGAAAGACTAATTAGAAAACAGTATTTCATTATAATATAGTAATGAAATATAGTACAGGTTGAATATTCCTCAGCTGAAATAATTGTTTCAGATTTCATTTTTTTTTTTTTTAATTTTGGATTTCTTTTTGAGAGATTTTTGCTATAGGTGCATGTACTCGCTAGAGAGACAGAGAGACAGAAAGTGAAAAATCACTACCTCCCCCTCCCCCCAGGGGAGATGGCCACACCACAATCCCTTCTCCTCTATTCTCCAACTCCTTTGGAGTTGCATGCACATGCATCTAGTGTGAGTTTTAAGCTGCCACATCTGGGACTTGAACCAGCGATGTAACTATTACACCATCTGCTGCTCCAGGATTTTGGAATATTTCCATATGCATACGAAGTATCTTGGAGATAGAATCAGAGTCTATTCATGAATTTCATTTATGCTTCATCTACACCTTCTGTAGATAGCCTGAAGGTTAATTTTATGCTATATTTTTATATTGCTGTATTTTGATGGTGTCCTAATATGTAAGATCAGGTGTAGGATTTTCTTTCTTTCTTTTTTTCAAAATTATTTGTTTAATTTTATTCATTCATTCATTTATTTCAGTTTGACTAGAGAGAGACAGAGAGAAAATGAGAAAGCAAGCCACCAGGTCCGGGACTCGCACCGTGGTCAGCCATGTGGGTTTGTCCAGCGCCTTAACCACCACGCCACCTGCTGGTCCCCAGGTGTGGAATTTTCTAACTGTTGAGTCATGTCATCACTTAAAAAGTGTTGAAATTTGGAGTATTTGGGATTTTGGATTTTCAGATTAGAGATGCTCAACTTGTAGTATCCTGTATTTTTAAAAATCATTCAACTTTATAATTTTTAAAAATAATTATTTAATTTTATTTTTCATTATTTTTCAGCTTGCTACAAAGCACGTATACTCACCTGAAACAGAGAGAGAGAGAAAGCAAGCTGCCAGGTCTGGAACTTGAAGCGTGGGCAGTCATGTGGGAATCCAGCACCCTAACCATGCCTCCTGCTGTCCCCTCAACTATTCATTTAATCTTACTCATACTGATCAGCTGAGATCTTTCCAGCACTGTGATCACAACACTCGATATTCTTGGGACTGTTGAAGAAACAGATATCCTCAAGTAGTTTATAATCTTGTTGGACAGACCCACGTGTGTGCAGAGTCTGCCCAACATGATAGTTAAGTGCACAAATTCTAGAACATCTGCATTTGCTCAGCTGTGTACCCTTGGGCAAGGTACTTGGCCTCTTTGTGCTTCCGATTCCACGTAAAGTGAAGACAGTGATATTACTGCTCTGGGTAGCCCGAGATGATTAAGTAATGAATACAGTACGTAGGCTGCAATCAGAAAAGGACCTGCATGTAGTGCCATCTCAGTGGCTTTCTCCTCTGGCTGGAATGTGAGGTCCACATCATTCATTAAATAGACAGTGAGCCGCTAGGTGACAGCTCTCTAAAGACTGAGTCCCAGGAGGAGAAGGGATTATGGCATGGCCATCCCCTCTGGGGAAGTGATTTCTCACTTTTCCTCTCATTTTCTCTCTCTCTCTCTCTCTCTCTGGCAAGTGCACACACTCTAAGGCCAAAGCCTGTAATGAAAAAAAAGAGAATGTGATTGAAAAAAATGTGGACAATGTATATACCCTTTTTGGGAATTCAAATATGGGTAGACACTTGTGCGAAGTGTTGCTGAATTTCTCTAAAAACCACGGAGGCGAGTCGAAATGTGTGCTGGGTCCTGAAATAGGGGTCGAACTTGGACAGGCAGAGATGAGTCTGGGAGGAAGTGAGTAGGAGAGAAGGACGAGTGCTGACGGCTTTCCCAGCTCTATTATCAGGAAGATTGCTCCGTCACCTGGACTGGACTGCTTTTCACGGGTGTTATGAGCTCGTTTAATTATTTGGTTTCCTAGAGGCTTCACCTCCAGAATTGCAGCAACTCCCTGCAAGTGGAGTAGAAATAAACAATATTAATTGTATTTATGCCAAGACCATCTATAATAAAATTCTAAGACTATGAACTTAATTAATAATTTGGAGTCATTGTCACCACTTAAAGACTTTTTAAAAAACAACAAATTGATAATATGTTTGCTTTTGTTTTTTTTTAGGTAATTAATAATGCTTGTGCTACTCAAGCCATAGTGAGTGTGTTATTGAACTGTACCCATCAGGATGTCCACTTGGGAGAAACATTATCAGAGTTTAAAGAATTTTCACAAAGTTTTGATGCAGCTGTGAGTACAGACTTCTTAATCCTAAACTCTCCTATTTGTAATAGCTCTTATTTTAATAGGCTGTTTTTTAAAATTATTTCAGATGAAAGGTTTGGCACTGAGCAACTCGGATGTGATTCGACAAGTGCACAATAGTTTTGCCAGGTAAAGAGACCGCATGGGGCCCGCGGGTGGCATGGTGGTTAAGGCGCTAGACACTCCCACATGGTTGCCCACGGTGCGAGTCCCGGACCTGGTGGCTTGCTTTCTCACTTTCCTTCTCTCTGTGTGTCTTTCTCTGGTCAAATGAAAATGATTGAATGGGGACCAGCAGTTAGTGTAATGGCTATGTCGCTGGACTACCATGTGGTTGACCATGGTTCGAGTCCCGGACCTGGTGGCTTAAACTCACACCGGGCGCGTGTACGTGCGTGCCCAAGATTCTGTGAGGAGAGTGGAGGAGAAGGGATTGCAGCATGGCCATCCCTCTTGAGGGGTGATTTCTTACTTTCTCACTGTCTTTCTCCATTTTTCTGGAAAGTGCACACACCCTGTAGCAAAAACCTCTCCAAAAGAAAAAGAAAATGATTGAATGAATAAAATTAAGTAAATAATTCTTAAAATAAAAAGTAAAGAGACCACATGTAACTAAGTGCCGCTGCTTTTTTTTGCGCCTCACTGTTTTTTCTTCACTGTAGACAGCAAATGTTTGAATTTGATGCAAAGACATCAGCAAAAGAAGAAGATGCTTTTCACTTCGTCAGTTATGTTCCTGTTAATGGAAGACTGTACGAGTTAGACGGATTAAGAGAAGGACCGATTGATTTAGGTAATCCAGTTTCTGTTCCTGGTATTCGACTTCTGACTCGAGAAAGGGCTGGGCATTCTCCTTCATTTCAGCCACAGGCTGCCTAAACACCGAAGGCGGCTGTGACTACGCGATGGTGTAATGTCACGAAGACCTTAAGCTCTTCAGTGCTTGACTACTATAGTTCAGTTGAAGCCTTTAATATTTTTTCTTAGAAAAAAATATTTTTATAACCCATAGATTACATAATTTATTTTTTTTTCTGTTATCTTTTAAGAAGTGCTCTTAATGAACTTAAAAACTTATTCTTGTTATTTTTAAGCTATTGATAAAAGATAGCAAGCATTTCTTTCTGTTTTTTTTTTTTTTTTAATTTGCCATGGGGCACATGTGCTTACCAGAAAGAGAGAAAGTACTCCCATGGGGAACGGTCACACCACAGTCCATTCTGCACTTGTCCTTTCAGGATTTGGGGCACACATACATGCCTGGTGTGTTTTTCAAGCTGCTGGGTCTGGGACTTGAACCACGTAGTCAACCATGTGAGATTGATCCACCTTAACCACCATGCCACCAGTTGGCCTGATAGCAAGCATTTCTTATAATCATCTTGTACTAAAGTATTTTGGGTACCAGTGAACGGTGTAGTGGTTACGTCACTGGACTCCCATGTATTTGACTGCAGTTTGAGTCCCAGATCCAGTGGCTTTAAACACAGCGGGCATGTGTGCATGAGTGCCCAAAATCCCGAGAGGTGACTAGAGAAGAAGGGATTGCTACATGGCCATTCCCTTAGGGGGATGATTTTTCACTTTCTGTCTCTCTGTCTCTTGCTCGCTCTCTCTTTCTCTGGTGAGCGCTCGTGCCCTATAGCAAAAATCGCTCAAAAACATTATTTTTCATTTGGAGTTGGATCATTCAGAATCTATTTATGCAGTCATGTTTTTTAATTGCCAGAGGGTGCGTACACTCACCAGAGAGAGACAGGAGAGGCAGAAAGTACCCCACAGTGGAGAGTGATCACACCACAATCCCTTCTCCTCTGGCTCTTCATCCTATCTGTATTCTGGGCACGCACACACATACACTCGGTGTGTTTTCAAGCTGCCGGGACCAAGATTCCCAGCTGCATGAACAGCCACATGGGATCCAGCTTCCCTTAAGCACTAGGCTATGGGGCCAGCCCTCAGGATCACTTTTAATTCCTTATTTAGCAATCTACAAAATATTTTTATTCATAATTTCTATTTAGTGCGTTCACGTGCTAACCTTTGTGCCGACGGGTAGATTTGTCTTGCTCCTACCCTGTCTCTAAACACAAGCAAAAATGATAAATAGTTTTTGAGGCTGAAGGTACAACCTGTGGTTCTCAAATATTACTAAAACGATAGCCCCACAAGAGAATTTTAATGTATTTTGACCTCATTGCATTTTCTTTTCCTTTTTTTTTAAATTAGGTTTGAAGTCTGACAAAATGAATTTAATTGATAATCTTATAGGCTATTCATAAAACTATGCCTTTAGTTTAAAAACAATTTAATGTGGCCCTGTTTAATTGTACTTTTTGATTATACCTTTTATAGAACCGGTGGCTTATCGAAGGCAGTTGTACATTTTACATGCTGCCTCCACGTCTGTGGTAGGCAATTCGTAGAATACCCTTTCAATTCTGTAGAAGCTGTTTCCCTACTTGGTAGTCAAGCTGATCTCTGCATTTTCTCTGTTGGCTTCTCTCTGGTCAGCTGTTTATTAGTCATTACAAATACCAAATCTAAAGGAAGCAAAAGATAAGACAGAACAGCCGGTTTTGCTGTGCCGCTGGTAGTTGTACTATGCCTGCTGGTGAAAGAGGATTTCAGCTGGGTCAAATCTGTTTTGCCTCAAGGGTGGATTTCAGTTTTTTATTTTATAGTTTTGATCATGGAGAGTCAGGCAAACGAGGATCGAACCCTTGTTTCACTGCTACCACGTGGCTGTTAGCCCTCGGTTTCTTCATCTGTGGAGTAAGAGCAATCACCCTCATCTCGCAGGGCAGTGAGATAACCCCTGGATTCAGCACTTGCCAGCACACGGTGACACAGTAACGTGGTCGTGCACATTGTTTCAATACTTTCCCCCGCACCACCAAGAAAATCAGAGTTAGAGCTTAACATACTGACTGATAGTTGTGCTCAAGAAGATATTTTTACTGTCCTGGATTTGCTTAAAGTATTTATAAAATGAAATATTGTGGACCAAACTTTTAATGTTAATGTTGTTTTTTCTTATTTTTATTTGTCTTAACTTTTAAAATTTCTTTTTAGGTGCATGCAATCAAGATGATTGGATCAGTGCAGTGAGGCCAGTCATAGAAAAAAGGATACAGAAGTAAATGCCCAGCTATTTTATTGGCCTACATTCTGGTTGCTCAGCATTTTTAAATGTTCATTGTTATTTTAGCAGTGTGTATTGAACTTCTACTCTTGGGTTAATGCATATAAAAAATCTATTTCAGAAAATGTCTAAATTTTTTTAAAAATTGAAATAATCAAAACCTGGTGGGGGCAAGAGTCCCAGCTCAGGCCTTGGCCTTTTTTGACACCAGCCCAGGTGCCCCATTACACCCCGTGAGGGTGGCGTCTGGGCGCTCTCTGCATTTGCTGCTGTGCGTAGAGGCGGGGTCACATGTCTCCCAGGCACGGTGGCTGTAGTAGGGTGGTGGTCCTCGAGTGGTTTTCGGTCTGGCGAGGCTGCCCCTTCTCTTCCAGCTTAGAGACCCTACTCTTGTTGAGGCATTTTTGTGCTTTTTTTTTCATTCCTGGGGCTGCTGTTTCTTCAGTCTGAGTCCGAAATGTCTGAGGCCCAAAGAACCCAGGGAGGCCACTCTGTCACCCCTGGATCCTCAAGTTCCCCAGTTTGTCTATTTTCTTCCTATCAGAATATTTTTCTTTTTAAAAATATATTATGTTCAGAGTTTTTAGGTTATATTTAGTTGGAGGAAAAGTGTCACAGAAGTCTCACAATCTAGTTTTTGTTTTATATTTTTTTAATTGCCAGAGAGCACATATGCTTGCTGGAGAGAGACAGAAAAGATAGATACCCCCCAAGGGACGTGGTCACACCACAATCCTTTATTCTCCATTTCTCTATCCTGCCAGGTCTTGGTGCACACACACACCCAGTATGACTCAAGCCCCAGTGTGGGCTCTGGCTCCTATTAACGGGGTTATCTGCTGCTCTCAGGGCTGTCTTCTACAGTTCAGTATTAAAACCATTTTTATACAGCTCAAAGCACTGCAGTTGTGCTGAGCCATATTATTCAGTGAATAGAACTGTATATGAGAAACTTCTAGAAGGGAACTATGGGAAAATGTGACATGTTTTCTGTATTTTGATCTTGATTAAGTGCCATTTATATAATGTCATGATTTTTTTTTTTAAGGTTTTTGCTATAGGGTGCGTGTAGTCACCAGAGAGGGAGACAAAGAGACATGGAGAGGAAAAGTGAGAAATCAACCCTGGTGGAGGGGAATACTGCAATCCCTTCTTTCTTGGGATTTTTGGCGCGCGCGCGCGCACACACACACACACACACACACACACACACACACACGCCCGGTGTGATTTTCAAGCTGCTAGATCTGGGACTTGAACCATGGTCTGGCATGTGGGCGTCCAGCACCTTAACCACTACACTACCTGCTGGCCCCTAATTTTTTTTAAAAAAATGTTATTTGGTATAGGACACATGCACTTGCTGGAGAAAAAGAGAGAGAAAGTGCCCTCCTACCAGGTGAGGGATGGCCACGTTATTATCCCTTCTCCATTTCTCTTGCTGGAATTATGGGCTTACATGCACACGTACCTGGCACGTTTCTCAAGCCGCTGGGTTTGGAAATCAAACTGCACAGTCAGCCATGTGGGATCCAGCTGCCTTAACCACCATGCCACGGGCTAGCTCCGTAAGCTTTTTTAATGTCAGTCCCTCCTATAAGCAAGTTTATATTATGCCATTTATTGGTATTAGAGTAACAAAAGTCAAACAACATTCAGAAATTTTACTATAGGATATGATTACACACTTTATTAACAAATATTACATAAATTTCTTGTATTTTATATATAAATACACAAAATATAAATAAAATTTTTATATAGGTTCATTAAAAACAGAAACTATAGGGGACCAGCAGTCAGTGTAATGGCTATGTTGCTAGACTCCCATGTAGTCGACCGCGGTTTGAGTCTCAGACCCAGTGGCTTAAACTCACTCCGGGCACATGAGCGCACTTGCCCAGGATCCAAAGAGAATGGAGGAGAGGGATTGCGGTGTGAACATCCTCCCTGTGGGGTGATTTTTTGCTTCCTGTCTCTCTGTTTCTCTCTCTGTTGAGTGCACATGCCCTATAGCAAAAACCTCTCTAAAAAAAAAAATAGAAACTGGCACCAGCAGTTAGCGTAATGGCTATGTCACTGAACTCCCATATAGCCAACCACAGTTCGAGTCTCGGACCCGGTGGCTTAAACTCATGCCAGGCGTGTGTGTGTGTGTGTGTGTGTGTGTGTGTGTGTGTGTCCAAGATCCCAAGAAGAATGGAGGAGAAGGGATTGCCATCCCTCTTGGGGGGGTGATTTCTCGCTTTCTGTCTTTCTGTCTGTCTTTTTCTGGCGAGCGCATGCACCCTATAGTAAAAACCTCTCAAAAAAAAAAAAAAAAAAAGGAACTATATTATGACTTGATACTAACTATGTAGGGACCAGCAGATGGCATAATAGTTACATTGCTGGACTCCCACATAGTCGACTGCACTTTTGAGTCCCGGACCCAGTGGCTTAAGACTCACGCTGAGGGCAAGTGTGTGCATGCCCAAAATCCCGAGAGGAGAACGGAGGAGAAGGGATTGCAGTGTGGCCATTCCCCCTGGGAGATGATTCCTCACTTTCTATCTGTCTGTCTCTGTCTCTCCAATAAGCACACAGGCCCTATAGCAAAAATCTCTCTCTCAAAAAAAAAGAAAACAATTGTAATAAGGAACATAGTTAATTAGAGTATCAAGATGCCAGTGTAAGTAAACCAAAAAATAGGAGGTCTAGTTTGTTTTTTTCTGCGACCTTAAGTAAATGAGTTTCTGTATTCATCAGGGCAGAGATATTGATGAAAATATTTGTTATTTCAATTTAAGTGACACCAACGCCATTTCAGAACAGTTAAGCTGTCCGTGACTGACAAAGTGTGGCTGTGCTTTGCTCTAGCTGTACCCTTTCATATGTGAGAGCTTTTTCTAAATGTCAGTTTTTATCGTTAGCCAACTGGTACATTTTTGTTTACCGCACAGAATCACTAGTAATGACAATGGATTATCTTACCAGTGAAAGTTTTATAATTCTTTATTATACTATAAACTTTAACTTTTTTCTAGGTATAGTGAAGGCGAAATTCGATTTAACTTAATGGCCATTGTGTCTGACAGAAAAATGATATATGAACAGAAGATAGCAGAGTTACAAAGACAACTCGCAGAGGTTTGTGGCCGTGTTCTCGAGTAGACAGTTCTAGGTTTGTTGTTCTCTGAGGGAAAGTATTTTCTTTTCTTTCTTTTTTAAAAAAAAACATGGATTTAATCAAGTGTCCTGAGTGAAGGTTAAGAGGACACACTCTGGATTCAGGCTACCTAGACCAGTTCCCGGCTTGGCTGCTTAGTCCGTCTCTGAATCTGGGTGTATGCTTTGTGCTGCAGTTTCTTTATGTATGCAGCATGAGGGTAGTAGTATTACCTTGTTCGCTTGTCAAGAGAGTTAAGTGAGGAAATATGTGGAAGCCACCTCAATGACCAGCAAAAGGTAAATGGAAGTCAGGGTTAGCAGCTAACTACTTTATCTCCTATTACTTTATCTATTTTAAGAAATATTTTATTCATTATTGTTACATTATCATTATCATTAGTATTATTATTTTTGACAAGAGGGAGACATAGAGAGGGAGAAAAGGAAAGTGAGAAAGCAAGCTGCCAGACCCCGGACTTGAACCATGATCAGTCATGTGGGAGTCCAGCACCTCAACCACCGTGCCACCTGCCGGCCCCTATTACTTCATTTTATAATGAAGAGAGTTAGAATACATTTCTCAGACTGTTAATTGGGTATGCATAGAGTCACATGTCATGTCTAAGTCTTTATGATAGAGTATCTTTCTGTAGTAAATACGATTGAAGAAAAGAATTAGTAATAGACAGTCTTTTTATGATCCTTCAATCATATTTTATTAGAGTAGTTAAGCAAATTTACTTTATAGCTTAGTAGGATATTGTAACAATATAGTATATTACAGTATAGGTTGTTTTTAGGTTAAAAACTCATAGGTAATATTATAAAACAAAGAAATGCTGAAGGTATTACTTAGAACTTTTCTCCTTTGATATAGCTATTATTAGGCCCACATTCTGTCATTAATATTAAGAGTAGAAATTTGAAGATAATCATATTATGTTTATAATTTTAAGATATTTTGGATGTAAGCCTCAGTCATTAGGGTGTGCCTGTTTCTTTTTCTTCTCCCTAAGGAGGAACCCATGGATACAGATCAAGGTAATAATATGTTAAGTGCTATTCAGTCAGAAGTTGCCAAAAACCAGATGCTTATTGAAGAAGAAGTACAGAAATTAAAAAGATACAAGGTGTGTTTTTAAAATGTATTCCTTTAATGCTCTGAATATAGAATAGTATATTTTGAGATGAAAATCTGTTGTACATTTGATTGCTTTTCTTCCTATCATTTACCAGATTTTAGAATATTGTATTTATTCTCTGGTACCTTGCAAAGATAAGTAATGAGGTTTATTCCCTTTCAATTTTTTTAAAAGTATGTTAACAAATCAATAATTTTTAAATCTATTTCATTCCTTCAGTTCCTTGCAGATATTCTTTTTTTTTAGAGGTTTTTCACTATAGGGCGCGTGTGCTCGGCAGACAGACAGAGAGAGACAGAGAGACAGAAAGCGAGAAATCACCCCCCAGAGGGGATGGCCACACCGCAATCCCTTCTCCTCCATTCTCCTCTCTGGATCTTGGGCACGCACGCACACGCACCTGGCGTGGGTTTTAAGCCACCGAGTCCGGGACGCGAACCGCAGTTGACTACGTGGGAGTCCAGCGACATTGCCATTACGCCAACTGCTGGTTCCCGCAGATATTCTTTTTGATGCTCAAAATTATCCCATCTTTGACCATGGGATCGCATTCAGGCTCTCTAAGTCCTTTTTTCTTTTCAGTTGCCAGAGGACAGGTATGCTTGCCAGAGGGAGGGAGGGAGAAGGCACTCCTTACCGAGGCATGGATGCTGCACACCCTCCTCCACCTCTCCATCCTGTCGGGATTTGGGGCACACATGCATAGCTGCCTGGCATGTTTTTTAAGCCGCTGGGACCAGGATCCACATCGTGGTTGGTCATGTGGGATCTGGCTTACTTTAACCACTAAGTTGCGGGTCAGCCCTCTTACATCCTTTTGACATAACACCTTTAGTCTTTGACAGCTTCCTTGCTTTCTAGTGTGACAAGATGTTTCAGACTCATCTGGTACGTTTTCTGCTTCAGACTTTGAATCAGCATTTTATTCAGAAAATCTTAGATTCTCTTTCTGGGTTATATTTAGAAACTGCTGTTCTTGGGTGCTCAGGGTTCTCAGTGCTACTAACGGGTAATTCTTTTCTAGACTTCTTCAGAACTAAGAAATACATTCTTGTTTCTTGTTTTATTATTTAAAATACAATGTGAGTTCCTGTTAATATTTAATTTGAGATTTAGGGGCTTTACACTTGGAAGAAGATAAGAATTGCATTTCTTCTCTTGGCTGAAAATCTTGGCTCCTGACATTAATGTAATTCCTTATTTGCTTTGTGTTTGTATACATTGTATATGCACGTGCGCACCCATCCGCATCTAGCCACATAAAGCGTGTGTGTGTGTGTGTGTGTGTGTGTGTGTGTATGAGGGGATTTCAGAATGCTCATGGAAAATGGGATTATGATATAAGCGTATTGTAGTGTAAAAAGGTTTTGAAATCCTTGGAGGTATTTCATAATGTGAGTTTTCTGTGAATATTTTGAAGACTCCTTGGATGTATGTATATGTGTGTATGAGTCTTGTGACACCGTGACCGTCCCCTCAGCCTACCAGCCCCCGGGACTGTGGACACAACCAGCATGTGTAGATGAACCTAGCAGCTAAACTCCAGGCCTCCCCGTCCAGTATGGTGGCTCAGTGCCCTGCCATTCCTGCCACCATGACTGAGCCTAGCTCCTGGTTTAATTATATCCAAAATTTATGCAGTTTGGAGTTGTCTTTAATAATGTCATCGCCTTTCACTTGCATTCTGTTGGCTAATCCTTTTTCCCAAGAGTGAAAGGAACTTTGAATTTTGTATGGCTGTGGGAATGGACCCGATGTCATTGTCTTGTGTGCCACAGTGGCAAAGGACTTCTTCCCAGCATAATGCCTCACATCCTCCTTAACAGCTGACAGGCGATTGTTCAATAAAATCGATGACCTTGAACTACTGGCATTTTTTCGGGGTGAGAGGAGTAGGAGCAGGCAGGCTTCAGAATATTTTTAAAGTTATTTCCCATTTCACATTGCAGTAGAAAAATCCAATCTCCTGAACCATCTGTGTGTCCTTGTGCAGGGCTGTCATGTAATTGAGTACGTTTGTTCATCTGCCTAAAATAAAAGACAAACTAAGTTTTCAGAATCTTTGCCTGCTCCTTTGTTTGGGAATATTTTGTTTAAAAAATAATTAAATGATAGTCATACTGCAGTAAAATGACTTAAACTGAAGGAAGCCATAAGCTATCATTAGTTCAAAGAAGTCTGAGAAGCTTGAATTTCTATGCTGTAAAGGAAAGTTGGAGCAAAGCTACAAAAATGGAAATGTTTGTGCAGTGGGGGAAGGACCGTCAATGGGCCCTATACCAGGTAGAGTAGGAATAGCTGTGGCCGTGCAAGGCTAGAAACAGGCAAGTTGGGAGGGTGCGCTCTAGACATAGTCTTCCTCTGAAACACAGGTTTTTCCTACCAGTCTACTGTTTTTTGACCAGATGATCTCAAAAGATTATTATTGATCACAAAATAAAGCTGGTCTTCTTACACTTGGCCTGATTATTTGTATAGACATAGTGGCAAGGATGTTAACTTATCATGTAGGGCTTCTTAAATTTACTTTTTGAAAAAACTTTACTTCTGATAAACAGTATGTACACCTACTGTAGAGAGAGAGAAGCAGTCTGGACAGGGCCCAGTCACGCCCTGATCCGCTTTCCCCAACACTGCAGCTCCTTGAGGTTTGGGCATCCGTGCATGCACCAAGCATGCTTTTCAGGCTGACCCCAGGATCCAAACCGAGCAGGTCAGCCATGTGTATCTAATACTGCATTTCAGTTGCTCCAACTAGGCCAAGTTTGCTTTTATGAGTTTTATTTCCGTAAGTAGTCTTAAGTTAGACTTGTGCAGCTGTCTCTTATTTGTTAAGTCAATGGTAGAAAACCATGCCTAACAATCTCTTTCCACATGTTTTATTGTGTTAGTCTTCATTCTCAATGGGAACCACATCTTCTTATTTCTGATATTTTCCTGTGAAGGTAGAAATGTTATCTCATTTCTGTTTTGAGTTGGATAGAAAAATAAAACATCGAAAAATTAGTAGAAATGTAAGTGTAACTTGATGTTTGTTTCATTTTCAGATTGAAAATATCAGAAGGAAGCATAATTACCTGCCTTTCATTATGGAATTGTTAAAGACTTTAGCAGAACACCAGCAGTTGATACCACTGGTGGAAAAAGTAAGTATTTTGGGGCCAGCAGGTAGCCAAGGTGGCTGGATCCCACATGGCCAACTCTGCAGTTCAAGTCCTGAACCTGGTGGTTCAAACAACAGGCAGGTGCTTGCGTATGGATGCTCAAAATCCTGAGAAAGATTGGGCAAGGGGTTGTGGCAAGGTCAACCTCCTGGAGGATGCTTTCTCTGTCTCTTGTCTCTGGCAAGTGCATACACTCTATAGCAAATTTTTAAAAAAGAAAAGGTATTTTATTTATGAATACTTAAATTAGATTCAGACTCTCCAAAAACAGGAAATATCTTTTTTGGCATGAGTAGAGGTAAAATTTATTGAAGTTTTTTGATTTTTGCTTGTTGGTTTATATTCTGTGAGAAGTAGTTAAACCCGATACCATAAAATAAAAATAAAGAACTGCCCAAAATTCTTGGTGTCAAAGAACTCAGGTTGTGCTGTATTAAAATAAAATTTAAAGCACTATGCTTTAAGGGAATTTTTGTTTTTGTTTTTGTTTTTGTTTTTTAATACAAGAGGATTCATGCACACACAGAAGAAAGAGACTAAGAGAGAGGAAAGAGAGAGAGAGAGAACCCTTCGGGGGTCTGTCACAGTGCAGTTGTTTTTTCCTCTCTCCTGTCAGTATCCTGGGCACACGTGCATGTGCCTGGCATAGTTTTCAAGTCATTGGGGCCAGGATTTAAATTGTGGTCAGCCATGTGGGACCCATGCTCTCTGCACACCACTCAGCTGCTGCACTGTGGGGCCGGTCCCCAAACCAGATTCTTATGTTTATCATTGAAATAATAGCTTTTATTTTTCCTGATTTAATTTACCCAAAATTTGAATTGACATCATGTTGGGTTGTCAGAAAAGTTGTGATGCATTTTTGCATAGAAAACATTCAAAAAAAAAAGTTATGACTTCCGACGATCCAGTGGAATTTAGAACTAGAATGGGCACTGATGGAGAAAAGAAAAATGGAGCCTGGACTGAGAGATAGGTCTTCTTATTACTAACCTTATGTCCTTTCCGTTGAGGGGACACTGGCCCAAGATAGTCAAAACATCTGAATTCTAGGATGTTTTTGTTTCGGTAGGAGATACTTGATAATGGGGTCACATAAATAAAATGCAGTTAAATTGTCTTTAAATTGATACTGTACATCAGTGTTTTTGAAAGTGACTATCTCTGAATGTTCTTTAAAATGCATTTTACCTGGCACCCTCTCCCCAAAACCGGATGTAGGGAGAGCAGAAATCTTTAATAAGTTCCCCCAAGCTATTCTTTTTAAGAATTATTTTATTTAATTTTATTTTTAATTTGACTAGAGAAGGACAGAGTAAGAGACAGAGAAAGTGAGAAGGCATGCCACCAGGTCCAGGATGTGAACCGCAGTTGACCATGTGGGAGTCCAGTGCCCTTAACCACCACTCCAACTGCCAGCCCCCATTCATTTCTTTTTAATTTGACCAGAGAGAGATAAGGTGAGAAAGCAAGCCACCAGGTCTGGGACTTGGACCGTGGTTGGCCATATGAGAGAGTGTCACCCGCCTTAACCAGCACAGCACCCACTGGTTCCTCCCCCACCACAAGCAATTCTAATGCAACTCTCTGGGTACCACATTTTGAAAAGACACTACTAGACAAATAGAATTTTGGATCATTAATTTAAAGCCGCCAAGTCCAGGCCTTGAACCACAGTCAACCATGTGGGTGTCCAGCTCCCTTAACCACCACGCCACTTGCTGACCCCCACCACCTAGTGTGTTTTTTAAGCCACCAAGAGCCAAGATTTGAACCAAAGTCAGCCATGTGGGATCTGGCTCCTTTAACAATCAGCTATGAGATCAGCCCTATTTTTCTCTTTAATTATAAATTTGAAAGCAAAGATACATTTTAGTCTACCTGTTTCATGTTTTAATATCTAAACAGGATGAAATGTGTTAATATTTCATGTTTACTTTATTACTTGAAACATGGCACCCAAATATTAGCATTAAATGCAAAAGTGACCATAAAAGAGTGCCATATCTCTTTGCCCAGAGGTTTTTCTGTTCATGTATCTTAGGGTATTTCAAAATGGGAAACTGATTTTTAAAGTTTTAGGTTATGATCTCATGGTTCTCAGAACTGTTTAAGAGTACCTAGTTACAGTGTTCTTTGTATGAAACACTATGAAATATTGAACAGAATAACATGTAATGTGCTAAATCAGGCGCCGAGACAGGTGCATGGTCCCGCGGGTCTGCCTCACATGGTGTGCCCATGATGCCCCCCCGTAGACACCATACTCGGGGCCACGCAGCCGCTCTGTTTTACACTTTGAGTACAGTCTTCAGTCAATCACATGAGACATCTAGCCTTTCATTATAAAACTGGCTTTGTTTTAGATGATCTTGCCCAACTCTAGGCTGGAGTAAGTGTCCTGAGCACCTTCAGGTTAAACTAGGCTGCGCCGTGATTCAGTCTGGGAGTTGAGGTGTATTGATGGTATTTTTTCACTTCGATATTTTCAACTTCTAAGTTGAAAGTTAAACTTTAAAGTTTATCAAGACATATCCCCATCATAAGTTTAGGAGCACCCATATAGAAAAATGTTATTAGGAACCCTCAGGCAAATTTTAAATGTATAAATTTTGCTTTAAAATCTGGCCAGCCACTGCCTTGGTGGTTAAGGCGGCCGGATCCACATGGCCGACTGCGTGGTCTAGCTCAACTCTGCGGTTTAAAAAATGTTCTAGGCACACGTGCATGCATGCCAAAATCCCGAAAGGAGAAATGGAGCAGACGGGATTATATCACGACAGGCCCCCGTGGGGAGTAATTTTTCACCTCCGTCCTCTTCAGCTAATGTATGTGCCTTCTTGCAATTTTTTTTTATTGCTGTGTTAGGACCAGTAGATGGCATATGGTTACGTCACTGGACACCCACTTGGCTGGCCAACTGACCACGGTTCACATCCCAGACCAAGGGACCTGAAACTCAAGCCAGGCACGTGTGTGTGCATACCCAAGAGGAAAATGGAAGAGGACTGAAGCATGGCCATCCCCCTTTAGGAATGATTTCTCGCTTTCTGTCTCTTGTCTCTGGCAAGGGCATATGATAATGCCCTATAGCAAAAATCTCTCCAAAAAAATTGCTGTGTCAATGTAATTTTTTTGTGTGTAAATTGGGGAAAAATACTCTTGTTTAACTTTAATTTTGACTGACAGTATATCCCCAGATTTTTTGGACAACAATGACAATAATAGCTTTTCAGCTTTGCTTTAGAACCCTAGCTACCTCATTTAAAGCATTTTGGACACAAGGGGGCAGTATATGCATACCTAAAGTTAATGGGACACCATCTCTGCTTTAGCCCTTTTTGTTGAGGGAGAGTCATTGACTTTCTAGTTTACTTATTTTTTCTAACCGGTTATTTAATAATAATATTGCATGAACAACATCAAGGTACACTTATTTCTAGGTACACTTATTTCTTACATATGTGCAATATCTGCTATTCCCTTCAGTTTCTAAGGGAATTCAGACTCATTGCTTGTTTGAAATTCTTGAAATGTCTTTAATTATTTATCAAACGTTTATTTAGCTACCACTATATTTACAGGACTCTATTATAAAGTCTAGAAGTGTACTCATAATTAATACACATTTTTGGGGGGGGGAGATATTGGCTATAGGGCACGTGCGCTTGCCAGACAGACAGAGAGAGACATAGAGACAGAAAGCGAGAAATCACCCCCCAGGGGGGATGGTCACGCCGTAATCCCTTCTCCTCCGTTCTCCTCTCGGGATCTTGGGCACGCATGCACATGTGCCCGGCGTGAGTTTTAAGCCACCGGGTCCGGGACGCGAACTGCAGTCGACTACGTGGGAGTCCAGCGACATAGCCATTACGGTAACTGCTGGTCGCCAATACACATTCTTTTCTATTTAGCAGTTCATGATGTACTTTAGAAGAGGAGTAAACATTTATAGAATGTGCTAGAAGTTTTATTCTGATGAGTGTCAAAATAAAGTCATGCTAAAGATGAGATCCTGGGCGAGCACAGGACAGCTGCTCAACAGCTTTATAGCCACATAAGACCTCACGGCCACCAGTTTAAATCTGTGGTTGGACTTCACTGCTTAACCTGTGCCTAGTTTATAATTTAGACTCTGTCACAGGTAGGAAAGTGCAGGGAAAACCGTGATCCTATACACTCAGTACTGTCTGTGGTTTCAGGCAGCCTCTGGGGGTCTTGAAACATAAGCCCTAGGACAGGGTGGGGGTGGGGGACACTGTATTAGCTGTGACTTTGGTCAAGTTCGATAATACTTGTGAGTTCTGGCCTCTTCATCTGCTAGGGAGTAAAAGAAATACCGTGTCCAAGCTGTGTAGTTGTCACGAGGATTAACATGAATTAATGTGTGAAACTATTTTGGGGATCATACGTAAGGTTTATTGACAACATGGATCAATAATCCTTCAGTGACATACATTAACCTCAGTAAACTATCATGCAAAACTCATTTAACCATATCTCCAGAAACTAATGCAGGCTTTTTCTTTCAGTTTGAATAAGGGCAGATTATATGTATTGTTGGAATATTCATGAAAGAGTTTGACTTTATGGAATGAGTAGTTATGTATTTTTTTCTTACAGTTATGCTACTACATTTCAACTTGAGTGAGAAAACACTGCAAATCAAGCACGATCCTTTATTATTAAGGGCAAATAACTATATTACTACCCATGAGTAGTTTCTTTCTTTTTTTTTTTTAAGAGAGATTTTTTTCCTATAGGGTGCATGCACTCACTAGAGACATGGAGAGACAGAAAGCAAGAAATCACCCCCCAGGGGGGATGGCCATGGCACAGTCCCTTCTCCTTGGGCATGCATGTACACACACCTGGCGTGAGGTTTAAGCCACCGAGTCTAGGACTCCAACCATAGTCTACTATGTGGTAGTACAGCGACATGGCCATTACCCATCTGCTGGTACTCCCCAGGAGTGGTGTCTTGCCAGTCTTAGCTTATAAATAAAATACTTCAAAAAAAAAACTTTTTAAGGTTTTTGCAACAGGGTGCATGCCTTTGCCAGGGAGAGAGAAAGAGACAGTGAGAGGGAAAGTGAGAAATCACCCTGTTGGGGGCGGGGGGTGGCCACACTGCAATCCCTTCTCCATTTGTCCTCATGGGATTTGGGGCATAGGCGTACACATGCCCAGTGTGATTTTCAAGCCGCCAGGTCCGGGACTGAAACCACGGCCGGGTATGTGGGAGTCCAGTGCCTTAACCACTACACTACCTGCTGGCCCCTAAAAATGTTATAAAGAATGTATTTCAAGTGTTGAGCTTGAGAAAGCCGCCCTGGGCACATTTTGTTTTAATATGTCTAAAATAGACCTTTAAGATTTGTAACATGCTCTCTTGAATTTTTAGGCAAAAGAAAAACAGAACGCAAAGAAAGCTCAGGAAACCAAATGAAAAGGATGTTTAGGGATGTATGCACAGTTCAGCTTCTGCACTCATTTTCTCGGAACCTCTGACGGGTGAAGAACTGAGCAACATCCTGACTGGCTCCGTGCACGTCTGGCTGTAGCACCTGTCTTGTCCTTAATGCATGGATTCATCAGCTTTCTCCCTGCCTGCATCACGTGCATGTCGTGCGTAAATAAACGTGGTCTTAGGAGTGCTTGCCCGGATTCCATTATTCCACCTCTGCCCTGAGAGCTGTTGATTCTCTGGCTGCGTAACCTTGGTAATGAACTTAGGAAATGCACAACTGCTATTCTCTGCTGTAATCGTTCTAATTAAACTTTTGATCTTTTAGCCCAGTTAAATACTTAAATTTATAAATGTCAGATCCTGATTGAACTGTATCTTCTGTTTCTTCTCATCATTAATGGAAAAAAAAATCAGTATTTCTATCTTTGATATCTCAGTGTTTTGAGGGTTTTAAAACTGAATTTAATAACCTATACCGATTATTCAGGAAAGTACAAGTTAATGCACATCATTTGAAAAGGACAAAATTGCGATTTCTAACGATTTTCACTGCCGCCAATAGAAAGGTAATAATAAATATCCGAATTTTATTTTAGCAAACTTCCTTCAAGTGTTTGGAGTTATTTGGAATTACTCATTATGTACTGCTGAGTTCTTTTAGGAGGGTCTGAACATTATGCTTCAAAGCAAAATTTCAGGTTAGAAATAAATCTTAAAGAATTTTGGTGTTACTCTCATTTTGGTAACATAATTTAAGCTGTTAAATATTGGTAAAAATTTGGAGGTTTGATGATTTAAGCTGTCTGCTTTTTTAAAAGAAGATGACATTGATGGGGATCCTTCTATGCCAACTTGAAGAAAATTAGTTCAGACTGCAGTTTCCAAAAGCCGTATAGAATTTGCTCTCAATGGTTTTTTTTGTTTGTTTGTTTTTATTTGCTTTGGGGAGTTGCTTAGATTTTTATTTTATAAAATGATACTGTGTTTTTGTTCTTAAGTCTTCTTTTCCAAGTTAAACTTTAAAGGAAATGTTTTAAATTTTCTTTTTAATGAAAGAAATGATCAACTTTTGTCCTTGCTAATTACATTTCTGACTTTTTAAAAAAATTATTTTTACTTTTTTTTTTATTATTATTATTATTAATTTGACCAGAGAGAGTCAGAGAGAGAGAGGGAAAGTGAAAACACAAGCTGCCAGGTCTGGGACTCAAACTGGGCAATCATGTGGGAGTCCAGCGCCTTTAACCACCAGGCCATCTGCCGGCCCCAGTGCATGACTTTTAATATTTTATTATTTATTGTGAAGCATATTTAACATAATTTACTTTATTAGTGAGAATGTGTACCCATCTTCTAGCTTCAACACATAACTTTTTTTTTTAATTTAGCATAGGACACATGTGCTCACCTGAGAGATGAGGAGAGAGAGAAGGAAAATGAGAAGGCACACCAACCCCACCCACCCGTCCCTGGGGATAACAGCACCACAGTCCTTTCTCCTCTGTACTCCTCTCAGGGTTTTGGGCATGAACGTACATGTGTCTGGCATGTGTTTCAAGTCACTGGTTCCAGGACTCAAACCATGGAGTCGACCATGTGGGATCTGGCCTCCTTAACCCACCATGCCACCTGGCTAGCTGAACACAAATTTTTAAGGATTGTTTTAAGTTTACTAATGGTGGGTTTTGTTTTGTTTTGTTTTGTTTTAAGAGGTTTTTGCTATACAGTACGTGTGCTCACCATAAACACAGAGACAGAAAGCCAGAAATCATCTCCCAGGGGGTATGGCCACGCCACAATCCCTTCTCCTCTCGGGATCTTGGGCACACACACCTGGCATGAATTTAAACCACCGGGTCCGGGACTTGAACCACGGTCAACTACATGGGAGTCCAGTGACATAGCCAGTACACTGACTGCTGGTCCCCTAATTGTGGTATTATTAAATGATTTAGGCTAGTGGCTGAAACGTAGCAAGAAATTGGGTAGAAAAAGTAACAAACTAATTTTTCTTACATAATTCTAATTGAAGGTAATAAAGAAGAATATGTAGTTTTCAGTTATTTGTAGCAAAATATATTTTGGTCTTGCTAGAGGAGTAATTATCAAGTGTTTTCAAAGCCTTGATACTTTTTTTTTACCCAGAGAAATGTTTGCCATAGGGTGCATATGCTCACTGGAGAGACAGAGAGACAGCGAGAAATCACCCCTGGGGAGATGGCCACATCCCAATCCCTCCTCCTCCATTTCCTCTTGAGATTTTGGGCACACATGCACACACACCTGGCATGAGTTATGCTGCTGAGTTGTATTCAAGCCACGGTCGACCACATGGGAGTCCAGTGTTGTAGCCATTCCACCATCTGCTGGTCCCAGCCGTGATAACAATTTTTTAAATTATTTAATCTTAATTTTATTTATTCATTTTATTTTAATTTGATCAGAGAGAGAGAAAGTGAGTTATCAAGCCACCAGGTTCAGGACTTGAACCATGGTCGGTCATGTGGGAGTGTCCAGCGCTTTAACCACCATGCCACCTGCTGGTCCCCATGATAACAATTTTCAAAAAGTATTTTTAAAGATTACCTTAAGCTCATCTTGATATTCCACTCATTTATTTTAGCTTAATATATATATATATATATACACACTGCTTTGTTGAAGCTAATGTTTTGTAAAACAATATAAGGATTGTTGTAGGACGCATTATCCACTCATCAGTACTATTTGAGACTAACATAAAGACGAATCAGTGAGATCCAGGAGGAGCCTACGCGTAGGGTGACCTTCATATAATCCCTTGATTTTTGATAGTGACCAAAATGTGGCAAAACAATCCAATGAATAAAGATTTTTTTCAACAGTTGACACCAGAGTCACTAGTTGGATAGCCATACGGGAAAAATGTGAACTGTGACTTCCTACCACAGAAATGAATTTGAGACGAGTCATAGACTTAAATGCAGTAGCTAAAAAAACTCTAAAGCAGACAGCATCAGTGAGTGTCTTTTTGACTTGAGGGTAGTCAAAAGTGTCTTAGGTCACAGAAAGCAGTAACCGGAAAAGATCCGAAATTTAGAGTTCATCAGGATGAAAACCTTACTGCAAGACACTGTTAACAAGAGCAGCCATTACCAAATAACCTTTTAAAAATAGCTTTATAAACCTACTATGTTAATAGATAGAAGGATTTTTTCTTACTAATTCTAATAAAATTCCTCAATAGGAATTTTCGTAACTAAGAATGGTTTCTTGTATCTGCACTTTGATGATTGCAAATGCTTGTGACACCTCATTATTTTTGCCCGCAAATAAAGAAGTGTGACTTGCCCCTGTCTGGGTCACATTATATTGCTGGTTTGACACTTAAGAAAGAAGCCAGTGGTTAGAGAAAATGAGGAATAAAAAGAAACTCAGAAATAGATCAGTATTACATATGTGGAAAGTTGTGTGTGTGTTTCATTTGGGAGCATTTTAAAGAACGTTTCGTTTACTCATTTCAGTTTTGCCCTTTATTTTCTACAGTCTCGTTGAACGGCCAGGTGGGTGAGGACACTGGCGTCCTGTTGCATGCTTTAGAACACCAGCCCCTGCCAAGGGGCGCACTTCTGCCGCTGTGAGCAGAGTGGTGTGGCGCCCGCTCGGCTCCCGTGTGGAGAGCTGCCCTTTCTAGCAGAGCAGTCACCCCGACTGCCACTATTCTAGGCCAGTGTTTGTTGGGACCGTGACTGCAGGGACTCGCTCGCCTATTCAGGGCATGGTACCTACTTGTGTGTGTGTGTCATTATGTGCAAATTAATACCTTCGGTTGTTCCTTCCAGTTGCCTACGCACTTAGACCATTTGTCCCATAGAAGTGATTTTTAAAAGGATTATTTAATTTTATTTATTATTTTTTAATTTGACCAGAGAGGGAAATGCTATAGGCCGCGTGGGCTCGCTAGAAAGACAGAGACAGAGAGACAGAAAGCGAGAAATCTTCCCCCGGGGGTAGGGGGTTGGGGGTTGGCCACGCTGCAATCCCTTCTCCATTCTCCTCTCGGGATCTTGGGTACTCACGCACACACACCTGGTGTGAGTTTAAGCCACCGGGTCCAGAACTCGAACTACGGCAGACTACATGGGAGTCCAGCGACATAGCCATTACGCTAAGTGCTGGTCCCACCAGAGAGGGAAATGAAAAGGCAAGCCACCAGGTCCAGGACTCGAACTGCAGCTGTCCAACACCTTAACGACCACATCACCTGCGGTCCCAAAAGAGTGACTCTTGGAGTAACAAGCAGACGTTTCCTTTTTCAGAGGGCGGCTCTGCCGACCGACCGCGGAGTCTCAGCTGGTGCTGCAGAGCTACTGCGGCCCCGCCCAGCCTGGTCGCAATAAACCCCTCCGCGCCCCCCGCCCCACCCTGCGGTGACGCGGCGCCGCCCAGGGCACTAAGTGACTTCCGCTGGTGGCTGCGCTGCTGCACTGACGGGTCCTCGCCCCTGCCGCCGCCTATGCCCAGGAGTCCCCAGCCCACGGTCTGTTCCCGTGCCCGCGCGCCATGGGTCCACGCAGAACTGCGTCTTCTCTGGGGGCTGGCCCTGCTGCTGCTCGGGTGTCCCCGGCCTGTGCGCAGTGACTGTGGCCTGCCCCCAAATGTACCTAATGCCCAGCCAGATTTGGGAGGTTCCGCGACATTTTCGGAGGGACATGTGTTAACGTACAGATGTAATCGTGGCTTTTTTAAAGTCACTGGCATGCCAGACTCAGTGACCTGTGTGAATAGCAAGTGGTCGGATCTCCGAGAATTCTGTAGTCAGAGCTGTGGGTTTCCACCCAGGTTACTTTTTGCATCACTCAAAAAGCCTTACACCGAGCAGAATAATTTCCCAGTGGGGTCCACGGTGGAGTACCAGTGCCGTCTGGGCTACAGGAGGAACCCCCCTCTATTACCAAGACTAACTTGCCTTCAGAATTTAACATGGTCCACACCAGCTGAATTCTGTAAAAAAAAGTCATGTCCTAACCCTGGAGAGCCAGTAGATGGTCAGCTCCACGTGACGACGGACTTACTGTTCGGTTCATCCGTCTCCTTCTCCTGTAACGAAGGGTTTAAATTAATCGGTGCATCTACCAGTTACTGTATTATTCTGGATAAAAATGTTGGGTGGAGTGAACCAAAGCCAGTGTGCACAATTATTTATTGTCCCGTACCACCCCAAATTGAAAATGGAATGATCCCACATAGAGCTGAAACGTACACCTACAGCCAGACTGCAACGTACAGATGTAATAAAGGCTTCACCCTGGTCGGAGAGCGCACTATTTACTGTAGGGTAAGAGCCGAGGAAGGAGAGTGGAGTGGCCCGCCACCTACGTGCAGAGGAAAATTCCCACCGCCCACTCCTGCCAACGTACAGATGTAATAAAGGCTTCACCCTGGTCGGAGAGCGCACTATTTACTGTAGGGTAAGAGCCGAGGAAGGAGAGTGGAGTGGCCCGCCACCTACGTGCAGAGGAAAATTCCCACCGCCCACTCCTGCCGCCCCAGCCACAGCTCGGACACCTAGACCTCCACCGCCCACTCCTGCCGCCCCAACCACAGCTCGGACACCTAGACCTCCACCGCCCTCTCCTGCAGCCCCAACACCTACTACAGGAAAAGCCGCATCTAGAGGGACTCCGGCAACTCCTCGAAAGCCTAACACAGCAGGTGTTCCAGGTACAGAAGCTCGGACTCAGAAAGCCACCACGGTATTTTTTCCACCAGCACAGGGTGTTGTTTCCAGGACAACCACGCAACCTGACTACACAACCATTTCTAAAGACAAAACGCTCTTTTCTTCAGGGTCTGTCTATTTTGTGTATGGATTTGCTTCTGTTGCTATAGTCCTTGGTATCCTAATTGTAATCAAGGTGTTCTGGGACTACGGACAATCAGGCGCTTACAAAACACATGAGATCGCCAAGGTTAAGTCTGAGAGTTTTTGACAGGTGGTGCCTCCGAGGTAAGACCTGGTAAACTCTAAGTGGACATGTGTGTAACATTAACAGTTTTGCTATGATGCTAGCAGCCAATCCCAAAGAAGAGTTAAGAAGAAAGTGTGTACAAATACACAGAATATTTCTAGCTTCTTACAACTTTCTGGAAGAGTGGACACAATAAATGAAGCAGTACTCTGTTTTGCAGTTATTGTCTTTTTTTTTTTTTTTTGAGAGATTTTCACCGTAGGGTGCATGCACTCGCCAGACAGACAGAGAGAGACATAGAGACAGAAAGCGAGAAATCACCCTCCAGGGGGGATGGTCACGCCGCAATCCCTTCTCCTCCATTCTCCTCTCGGGATCTTGGGCACGCACGCACACGCACCCGGCGTGAGTTTTACGCCACCGGGTCCGGGACACGAACCGCGGTCGACTACGTGGGAGTCCAGCGACATAACCATTACGCTAACTGCTGGTTCCCTGCAATTATTGTCTTTAAGAAGGGTTAGAAATGTCAACAAAGCAAGAACACCTTGCTCTACACACCTAAGCCTCTTGAAAATAGAACAGCTCTCAGGGAGGACTATGGAATAACAGTCCTAATAATTGTATGATAATGAACACCGCTAACAGCCAGCACTTACCCTATTTCTTAGAAAGTGGATAAGCTGTATTTAGAACAATCTAAAATCAAAAACAGAAATATCCCCAGCCCTGTGAAAGGCATGTTCTTTAACTTAAAGTCCTTCCAAGTATCCAGAGAGGGCCTGCAGGTGGCGCCCAGGTTAAGGTTAAGGCGGCTGGATCTCACATGGCTGGCTAAGCAATTCGAGACCCAGACCCAGAAGCTTGAAAAACATGCCAGGCACCTGTGTGTGCGTGCCCACATTCCCAAGAAAAGAGTGGAGGAGAAAGGATTGTGGCATGGCCATCTCTCCTGGGGAGTGATTTCTCGCTTTCCCTCTTTCTGTCTTTCCAGCAGGTGCATACACTGTGTAGCAAAACTTAAAAGAGTGTTGAAGGGTATCCAGAGATACTATAACATTAACATAAGAAAAGATCCTATATTTTCAAAATGAGCTGTTCATAGCCAAATTGTAAATCTTATTTATTTATTTATTTATTTATTTATTTTTGGAGAGATTTTCACTGTAGGGCGCGTGCGCTCACCAGACAGACAGAGAGAGACAGAGACAGAAAGCGAGAAATCACCCCCCCGGGGGGATGGTCACGCCGCAATCCCTTCTCCTTCATTCTCCTCTTGGGATCTTGGGCACGCACGCACACGCGCCCGGCGTGAGTTTTAAGCCACCGGGTCCGGGACACGAACTGTGATCGACTACGTGGGAGTCCAGCGACATAGCCATTACGCTAACTGCTGGTTCCCTAAATCTTATTTATTAACATTAAGATTAATTTATTTATATTTATTTATGTCAGTGAACATGTTGATTTTACATGTATAACAAGAACAGCTTAAGAAGATATATAAAGAAAAATTTATTTTCCCTAACTAGAAATAAATAATTGATCACATTTTTTTAAAGAAATGAGTGGGGCCCGCAGGTGATGTGATGGTTAAAGACGCTGGGGTCAGCCATGACTCCCACATGGCTGACTGCGGTTCTAGTCTCAGACCTGGCAGCTTGCTTTCTCACTTTCTCTCTGTCTCTTTCTCTGGTCAAATTTAAAATAATAATAATAATAATAATAAATAAAGTTTGAAAAATGACCCTTAGAGGTGACAGTTTCACCATGGACACAGTTGTACAGTGGAGATGCTCACTTGAGGGAACTCTCCCTGGATTTATGAGAAGCGTCGTAGGACCTGTGCTGAGTTATTAAGGAATACATGCAGTAAGTGGTAAGGAGGCCCTCTGGGACCCAGTGGCTCCCCAGGGCTGGTAATTACCATGACTCTGATTAGGGCCAACGTGCCATCTAGGTTGGGCCTCCCAGGCTCCATCTCTTCGCCTAGTTACTAAGGTCCAAGGTATGCCCTTTCAGCTTGTAATTGAAGTCATTGAATGTGATAAGGACTTTGGATAGTTAAGCCAACTTAATAAAACTGGCAGGAGACTAATGTATACCTAAAAGATAATTTGTTCATTTACTTTACAATTATAACTGCCAGCAGACCAGACATTCCTATCAGCCTATCAATCCATTCTCTCCCTAGTAAATAAACTTACCAAGGAAACCAAATTAAGACCAGAAGGTTGATTGACTATAGCACCACCCCAAAGGAAATTATTTGTTTTTTAGAGATACTGTCTATGATAGCCTGTGGCATATTTTACCTAGAATGCTCCACACCTCCTCGGTCCAATGTTACTGCCACTGTTTCCACTTTCTTAGAGACACAATGACAATGTTTTAAACTTCCTAATGATCACTTTTCTTGTTGACATTTTCCTACTTCCTTTCCCATGTCCAGAAATGTTTTCAGATTGGTTATAATTTAAGTTGATATTCATTTTATATTAATTTTATTCTGATCTGCCTTTTTAATGACATCTGACAAGACCTATTAATCCAGTTTTTTAAACTGTCCGCAGATAGGGCTGGAAGGGACTAATTCCTGCAGCTGTGTGGGACTTAGGAGGAATCAGTGTTTCTATTCTGTTGCCAGCCTGACCCTCCTTAACATCTTCTGCCTGCTGGTTTACACCTAAGTGACAAGTTAGGAACGCTCCGCACACACGCTACAGCACGGCGAGTTAGGAACGCTCCGCACACACGCTACAGCACGACAAGCTTTTCTCTTAGAGCACACAGCCTGTTAGCGGAGTGGCTGAGTTGCTGATTCAGTGAACACTGGGTCGATGCAGTTACTCTTTCACATTTCAGGCAGAAGTTTTCTTAAATTAACATTTAACAATAAAAAAACAGTGATGTGCCAACTTAAAAACCCTTCTTGCATTTTCCACAAGTAACTTAGTCACCAATAATACCACTCTTTTTTTTGGGGGGGGTTAATTTTATTTATTATTTTTAAAATTTCTTTTAGAGCATATATGCTCATAGGAGAGAGAGAGAGATGGGGGTGGGGAGTGGGAGGGGTGAGAAAGCAAGTTGCCAGGTCCAAGACTCGAACCACCGTCAGCCATGTGGGAGTCCAGTGCCCCAACCACCACACTACCTGCTGGCCCCCAACACTATGACTCTTAAGAGCAGCTTTGTTGTGGATGTTCTTGAGGTTGGTAAGCAAACTTCACAGTTCAGACACGGAATTATAAGCACACTGCTTTATTCGTACATTGTAACCTTGTATGTCGGAGGACAGACTACCAGACTAGGAGACCTGGGCTCTAGTCCTGCTAGGCTATTAGCTAGTGTGTGATCTTGGCCTACATTCTATCATCCACTGAAATGCACTTCGTCCTTTGTTATAAATTTCAAGTAGCACTTAGCAAACAGATGGCGTTCCTGTCTGCTTATACCACCAAACCTGAGAGGTACTGCAGTGTTACAGTTTTGTTGTGTTAGATACGCACCCACTTCTGGCCTCTTGTTTGCTCATGGTGAAGACTAGACAAAAGAAATCAGAATGATGAATTTTTTCTTTCTTTTTTTAAATTTATTTTAATTTTTTAAATAATTCTCTTTTTTAAAAATTATTTTATTTAACTTTATTTATTTATTTACTTATTTTATTTTGACCAGAGATGGCCAAAGTGAGAGAGAGAGGGAAAGTGAGAAAGCAAGCCGCCAGGTCCAGGACTCGAACTGTGGTTGACTATGTGGGAGTCCAGCGCCCTTAGCCACCACACTACCTGCTGGTCCCAAAATTTTTTCTTTTTAAAAACCACATTTGAAGTTTAGGAAAAGTCTGTTCAAGGAGTTGGCAGGTGTCAGGTGGTGGCTAAGGGCACTGGACTCTCACGTGGCCGACCATAGTTTGCATCTCAGAGCTGGTGGCTTGCTTATTATTTTCCTTCTCTCTTCCTCTTTGTCCCTCTCTGGTCAAATTAAAATAAATAAATCAATTTAAAACAAAAATGTGTTCACATTGCCTGAGCTAGTATCCCTATCCTTTGGGAATTGATTGGGTCATTGGAGAAGTCATGACATCTTTTTGCATAGAAAAATATATCATCGCTGTTCTTCATAGAGAACAGTCCTCTTTGCTGCTTTTGCCTGTAAGATGGTACAGGGTATCTCAGTTTGTATGAACAACATGTGTGCTGGTGGAGCATCTACCCTCTTGTCATGTATGCCAGCAAGATAGCTGCTTCCTAACTGTCCTCACGGAAGGGCAAGTCAGCTCTTTCCAGACTTGTCTTTAAGTGTAGACAACCTGGGGCCTCGTGATACAATTAACCATTAAAAAAAACAAAATTAAGTCTAAGCAGAGTTCAACATCAGTAAGTGTGATGACTGAAGCTCTGTTATAAATACCATGTGAGGGACCAGCAGGTAATCTAATGGTACGTTGCTGGACTCCCACATGGCCAACTGCGATTTGAGTCCTGGACCTGACAGCTTAAAACTCATGCTAGGCGCGTGTGCGTTGATACCCAAAATCCTGAGAGGAGGATGGAGAAGGGATTGTGGCGTGGCCATACCCCCTGGGGAGTGATTTCTTGCTTTCTATATTATCTTTCTCCAGTGAGCTCACGCTCCTTATAGCAAAAATCTCTCTAAAATAAATAAATAAATATCATGTGAATCCCTTTATTATGATAGA